TACAATAGTCTCGTCGGTCGCCCTATAGAGTACAATATTATTATATGAGTATAATGATACGAAAAAAAATAACTAATCAAAAATGAGAATGGGCATAAGAAACAAATTAGGCATTCGGTTCGTGTCGATCCTATATTATTGTCGCACAGGACGGGCGTGTCACGGCGGCTGTTAGTCTAGTCTGTTGTGTTTTTAACAATAACAATTAAATGTAACATAATGTATTTATGTATATTACCATATAATGTGTCTATTCGCCCGTACGAATCGCTTCAATCGCAATCGGGTTGCTAAATAAGCTTCTTATTTTTTTTTGCTTTCGCCTTGTTGCTTAGATGACTTTTACATATTAAAACAAATTCTCAGTGGTTCGTTGTCAATACCACCGCCCACATTTGCGCAGGTTTATGCGGTTTTTAGCATTGCGACTTTCAATTAAAAATTACTGTACAGCTCGTTAAGATAAAATATTTCTTGTCAACGCACTTGGTGCAGCAAAGTAAAAATAAGGCTTGGCAAGCTTAGTTGGAATTTAGTCTATTTTGCTGCACGTTTGAATAGCCGTATTGTGTAAATCTTATTTTTACAATTGATTAACAAAGCGTGTATCACAGGGGGTCTACACGGTGATAGCAAACGGAAAACAAAACTTTTCCAACACTGTGGGCAGAAACCTAATTTAAAGTGGCCAAAAGTGTAATATCTCAAACAAATTTTTAATCGTATATTTGTTAACACGTCTGAAAATTTATTTATAAAAAATTAGTTCTACTTAATCTAAAAAACAATGATAATAAAAAGTGAAAAAATTCTAAAAAATATAATAGGTAAAATTCGAGTTTATATTAAATCGGTGCTTAAATTAATTTATGGGTTACATTTTTATCTTATAAATACTTTCTGGTTATTGTCTGTTATGATGTGACTTACGGTACTATTATATAAGAAGATTTTTTTTAAAATGACTCAAAATCTCAAATGGTTTATTGGTTATTGAATTTTTATTTTCCGTAGTGTTTTTATACAACGCGATCTCAATTTTTCACAAACTTTTAAGACTTAAATGGTAACAGAATGACAATAGAAATAATATCGTAAATTTTTAGACATGCAGATGATTTGTAATATATGTATGAGTTATCTGTTTTTATTGAATGATAACATTGATACCATTAAGTAACGATTCAAATAAAGAGAAACTTAAGTTCTGTACTAAAGAGTTTCTCTTAAAATAATAGCGGTTTTGTAATTTTTTCTATATGGAGACATGTACTTACATTTTTTAACTTTTAGATAAAGACGTTGGCCAAAAATTCTGATTTTTAAAAAATAAATGGTCCCACTAACTTTTTACTAAAATATATGACTGAAAATATATTTAGAGAAATTATATTTTTGCCCATAGACACAAATATTTTTTTTTTGTCTTTGTGTCGATACATCTTACCGGTCTTCCCAATCTCGCTGTGTCGTATTTTGTAGTCATACTATAGCGCTTTATGCCCACTCTTCACCTATATGTTTCATACAGGGCGGTTCAATACACTCATTTTCTCTTAAAATATGTGCAATTTTTCATCACCCTGTATGCATATTGCATTACATTCTATGCATTACATGCATTAAATTCTACACATTTTTTCTCCATTAACAAATAGTGTCCATATCTCGGAGTCTTATGTGATCTGACCTCTTGACTTTTCTCTCTATGCCCGATACATTGTTTAGTATTACTTTGAGAAAAAACCCAAAGCAATAGAAATAATCGAATGTTTAGTACGAAACGGCCGATAACAGCTACGACCGGAAATGGTACATTTATACATATTATGCACGTTCGCCATCGTGTTTCTAAGTTAACTAATTGATGTGTGCTCAGACCAACAGCGGAGTCATAATTATTATAATAGTGGAACAATGTGAATCTTTCACAGAAACAACTCGCACGGATTATTGTCTGCAAAAGTCTTTCGGTTAATTTGTTATGACATTTTACTGTTGAACTTAATATTAAACAAACAATTAGCAATATTTGGCAATAAATTAGATAGCAAATTATTAAACTTTATGTTAAATAATTAACGATCGGTTTTATTTGCACATTAGCTATTTTTAGTTTAGAACTGCAACGTGTATTGACTAATCAAAAGAAAACTTTTAATTATTAAATACAATTAAAACGTATATGTATTTCTTTTTAATAATTTAACTTAATTTTTTCTACTAATATAATTTGTAACCCTTTTTTTTGTCTTCTTATCGAATCGGTCAGGCTTATTATTATTGTTTTTGAACAATTCATTTCCAGACAGTCTGTGTCAGTTTCAACGTGGCTTCAGCCACGGGTGGTTGGACGTCGTGGAGACTTTTGAAGTAATTGGAATCACTCAGTCAAAACTCTAAAGAAGATATCGGATTTTTTAGTGATTCTGTTTCCCAAACGCCGCACCGATATGATCGTTATACGAAACCACCCTCTTTTACCCCGTTGTAGTATTACATACATACGGTTGGTGTTGACCGATAATTATGTATTTTGTTCGTCGGTTTTTGTAGAAATCAATTTGGTTGTAAACAAAAACCACATACGACTGTAAAATCAATATTTTTAACGTTGAAGTCCGTTGATGGATCCAAACAATATTTCCACTTGGCTGACATTAGAACTCGGGTTAGGGAAAATAACAGTATTTTTTTTTTTTTGGACAAACGATTACTACCTTTGTACAATGCCCGTGGTTCTCGGTAAATATATGTTTGGTCCTTCGCGCACCCTCCCGCCGTCCACAACCACGCTCAGAGTATTATTATCATCATCATTATTATTACTTTTTTTTTGTCGAAAAATATTGTATGTATGACCGAGCACATTCCGAAAAATCATCTCCGTCGCCACGACGTTTATCATTTTTCAGCACAAGTACGGTTCTTTTTTTGTTTGCGGCGTTGAAAGGAATATTCTTTTCTTTTCGCGTTTCTACTTCTTTTCATAATTTTTTTTTTATCAGATAAAGGGGGTGACCACCTCCGAGTAATCATGTGACTTCACCTGTCCACGACGGCCGTTTCAACTATGGGAATATAGCAAAGATTTTATAATTTTCAATACGTATTTAACCGTACAATATCCGCTCCGGGTTACCACGCCAAATCTAAAGGTAGCTTTTATAGCGTCTAGTTATCTTGTGAAAATGCTTTATTATTAGTAGCAAAAAACGGACGGGACGATAACATTACATATTATTATATCCATACAAATAACAAGATATTAGTGCTAACCCTTCAACCGACGATTATCACTTCTACCGCCACCGCTGTCGGGCGCCATTCTCCGAAATCCTTACAGACATATCTAGGAGGTGGTTTGACTGCGGTGGTGATTAGAGGGGTTGTTTTTGACTATGTATATATGTACTCTGTGGGGATGCTGATGTTGCCGGCAATAGGAAAAGAGGAGCCCGTCGTTTTGATCACCGTGGAATGGATTATATAGATATATATGTGTGTATAAACCGACTCTGTCGTGTACTGACAACACTATTAAAGGGTTGTTGGTGAGCCGGAGACGTCGACCTTGAATGGGTGTCTCGAGTTAATCGTTAATCAAGTCTGGACGCGCCGGTTTGATGAATGGAACAGGTGGCTACTATACTATGCGTTGCAGCCTATCAATCCCGTCGTCGGCTTAGCGGTGGTTGTCTTTCGATATTTTCTTCTGACCTAACCGAATGCCGCCACTGTTGACTATATTGAAATTAAAATCAAACGCCGTCCAATCACGACGAATCGGTGTTTTTTTGTAGTGTCATCTCGCTCTTTCACCACCGCCTTCTTGTCTCGTATATCAAAAGTAAAAAGAATAATATGTATTATACAGTAGATAACGATGTTAGGAGAAGCGTTAGTAGAAGGTCAATCTATTTTTTATCACAATTTTTTTGTATAAATAAAAAAAACATGTTTTATTGTTATTATTCGTTTCAGTTTTAGTCAAATTGCCCGGCACTTTTGCTGCAAGTTGATTTCGTTATTCTTAAAGGTGTCGCATCAAACGTAAAATAATTGTTAATTATTAATTGCAAAAGAAAAACGTAAAATCGCCCCATCAAATTCTGAAAACTGTATGAGTTATATGAGTTGTCTGTTGACCGTTTGTACATTTTGGGACGTGCGTTGTGTAATCCGAAAGATACTCTTTTGGTCGAGCCAAAAGTAATTTAACGTATGATCCCGGTAGACAGAGTGGAGTTTAAACGGGATAAGTTTTGAGTTTGTTCTTTGTTGTAAACGTGATGTGCTCTTCGGTCGGTATCCAGTGAAACACGGTAGGAGGCTGTTGCCGGCGCATGATGTTATTCTGAGAAGACCTTACCGAATTGTTTGTACACTCCGGTTCTCTTTGGGGGTACTCGCTGCGGCGTAAAGATCACGAGAGATAATGAAGAAAACGATAAAAATTCGTACCTGCTGCCTACCACACCTCCTAGCCCTTACACGTCTTGTGTATGAAAATAATGAACAATATGAAACTGTCCAACGTAGTTAAATTGTCTATCCGAAGCGCCGTGCAATAAATCGGACCTCCAACGTTTATCGTTCTCCTCCAGCCTCCTCCTACCACACTAAGCACTCTCGTAATCATCGTTATCATAGTATTTCCTAATGTTACTATCTATGATAGAACAATTAAGAAAATTAAAATTCCCGTCTTATTTACCCACCCTTTATGAAGTTAGCCGATATCGACATTGAGTAAGGCAGACAAATATTGTTTTCCCCCATCGTAGAAAAATTGTATTTATTTTTTTACTTAGCCTTTCATTTAATCTTAAAGCGTTTTCTTTTATTAACTGCTGACTTCATTCGAGATTGAATTTAACTGTATTGCAGTATTGCCCTGTTTTGTACACTATTTCCAGTCCGTGTATAATTATACTTGTATAATGTTTTTTTAACTACCAAGAAAAAGTTGTAAAACATGCGTCGTGTTTGTTTTGCAGATGTGGGAGCTGCTTCTGTTGAGCATCCTGAAATGGGACGTGTCTGCCATCACGGCTCATGACTTCCTATGGTATATACTTAAAAGACTGCATTTCTTGGACCCAGCCAAAGCGTACGTGGATGTTGTTATCAAACACTGCGGAACGTTCATCGGCATGTGCGCCAGAGGTAAGTCTATCACGGGAATATAATATACAGTAGTTAATTATTGCTTGATAATATATGTTTGTTTACAACTCGATTTTAGCTTTTTGTTAAAATGCGTGACAAACACAATACAACCGCTTTGGTCAAAAGTAAAAACCTCGTTACACACAGTAATTGGAATGATTAGAATTATAGTTTTTTGTTAGTATTAGTTAATACTTATATATGGGGCATTCTGAGTCAAATCACGCGGTCATCGGCCTGACCTCAAATTTTTTTTTCAAACTTCCTTTAGTCTTATATAAGACCTTTATTTTTTGGAATTTTAATCACTAATTTTTGCCCCAAAAATAGAGGTTTTTTAAGTTATTTTTCAAAAAAATCGATTTCGACCAGTTTTAAATTTCTTAAATTTTTATCATAAAATCAGAGATTTAAATCAAATCTTTTAGTCTAATAACGGGAGTGGGCCGAGATTTATTTCTATTTTTTTTTTTTAATAAACAAAAAAAAATTTAATTTCAGTTTTCTTATTAAAAAAATTAAACAAAAAATAAAACATGTCTTGGTAAATTTTGATTTTTTGCATATTTTATGAGTAAAAAGTGAAAAATGTTCCTTACGAATAATACGCAGGGGCATTGTGTGGGCGCAGTGGAGACCTCAGCTGCCATGCGGCATCTGAAGTTTAGCTGTGTCCGTTGCTGCTTGATCCAGGGTGGGTGACCACTCGGGAATATTTTCATTGTTAAAAAAAAAATAGAAATAAATCTCGGCCCACTCCCGTTATTAGACTAAAAGATTTGATTTAAATCTCTGATTTTATGATAAAAATTTCAAAAATTTAAAACTGGTCGAAATCGATTATTTTTTTGAAAAATAACTTAAAAAATCTCTATTTTTGGGGCAAAAATTAGTTATAAAAATTTCCAAAATATAAGGATACTATATTAGACTAAAAGAAGTTTGAAAAAAAAATTGAGGAGGTCAGGCCGATGACCGCGTGATTTGACTCAGAATGCCCCATATACATATTTTTTATTTAAATAATCATAAGCCATTATAACTATCTTATAATGGTTAGATACATGCGTAGTTGCATATTTTTTAAGAATGTTATTTTGATTTTTAATGCATTCCTTCCCAAGTAAGCCAAGTGTGTGGGGGGGGGGGGGGCAACTTCAGCCGGAGAATTGCACTGGATTCCAACACTTATTATACCAAGGTACGCCACACATGTTAACCACGATTCCGTTTGATGAATCAGCCATTTTAAGATATTGGAAACCTGAAATAACGAGATAATATATAATTAAGTCGGCATAATGAGAAACTCCAAAGGAGATTCGTCATAATAATTAAAACAAAACACTGAAACAAAAACAAGTAAAATATAGTTTTTTTTAAACATAATCTTGTTTATCAATTAAATAAAACATTTATTATCGCTCAACTGTACAAAAAAAAAGTAAAAACCAAGAGCTAGGTTTCGGTAAATTTTTATAAGTTATTGTCAAGGTTTCACTGGGAAAACATTATACAGAATTCAAAAGTATTCAAAACAGTCGTTGAACTTTTTCTAGAATAAGCATGAAATTGTTTTTTAGCCAAATGCGTAGCAACTATGTAATGTAACGTGTATGCAAATTAAACAGACAGTTGCGGCGATATTGTTTTTCCTTTCAAATTTCAAAATGAAAAAAAAATTAACAAAGAATGGTAACCACCGCCGCTGCCGCTTCATGTCTTGGATTCGTTTCTCGGGAACAGGTTTCCTTTTGTCTGTGTGCGAGCACGTTTGTCCGACGTGAACCTTTTTTATTTTGCTTCACTCCTATTTGAGAGACGTGTATCAATAAATTTCGGTAAAGGCTGCTGTCGGACGGACCTACCGCGATTAAAATCTGATTGGAATTGTTGTTGAGTTGATTTCAAACCCCAAATAATAATTGTTGACAGTCCTATTAATTTGAAGAAAAAAAACATTGTGTGTGTAAATGACGTCGGAGATTAGGAAATACAGACTTGAAATCTGAAAATCACTTACTGCGCTTTACTTACACACAATTATTATTAGTATCAGTAAGCCCACCGTGTATACGTCATACACAGCACGCAAAATGTCTCATTGTTATACTTTGTGTAGTGTAATAATAATATGGTGTGTGAACGTACTGTAACACAACTGTGGTAGAATATAATAATATGTACAATACAATTTTTAATGATATGTGCCGAATGGGTGTTTATGATCATGATAAACAACGCCGTCTATATTATAATCATTATTATTATTTTCTCATCCGAAACCATTTAGCCGTCGTTTATTAAAATTATATTACTCACATACATGCTTAATACCGTATGACGATCTTGTGACTAAGTGTTCATGGTTAAAAAATTATTTGTTGTTTCTTTGTAGACTGCCGTTAACTGCGTGGCGGTGTGCTTCATAGAATACAATAAAAATACAGAAAAACTTAAATCCTTTCGTGAAAATAACCTACTCTTCCACAGTTTATACATTCTATACTTAAATAATTCATGTTTTATACTCTTAAATTATTCCTCCTCTTATGATCTCACTTGAAAAAAAAAATATAACATATTTATTTATTTACTTTCTAGTTGAATGCAAGTACATAGAATATTTATTATAAAGAACAGATATTATTATAAGTATAAATATTGCGTTGGGTAGTATTGTTAGAGTCCATTAATCAATCATATTGCATATCAGATCACTTTCGTTATAATAAATATGGATTTGTCGGTGTATGACGTGTAGTTTTTTTTTATCTGTTAAACACATGTAGTGGCGATAATGATGAAATTTACCATATAATTATTTATGTAGTTTTTTTGAGTAAATAATTATTTCAACTTTCTTTGTGTGTGTGTTATGTTTTTTTGTTTATGATTTAACCGGAAACTACTTGGGCGGCGCACGATGACGTGCTGAAAACCATTTGGACTGTCGGTCTTTCATTTATAATAATAATAATAATAATAAATATCTGGTGAGTTTGCGCCTTGTGTTGTGAAGAGGGTCTACAGCGATCTTCACTATTGACTCGTTTTTGTACATAAGCAAAATGATTTTTTCATCGTACGGTTGTTTTTTTCTTTTTGTGTTTTTAAAGAGAGAAGAAGAATGTCTGTGGAAAATGTTATCCCCAGTATTTCGGCCACGGGGACCATCTTGTCCGTGTTGTTACGCTGCGGAGTTTCACCATGAATGGTCGGGTGGAGGTTCTTTTTTTATTGAACCAACGTTATTTTACGATATGTTTTTTTCAAAACTAAAGCCATCTCACACCGCAAGATAACACAAAAACATAAACAAACCGACCGTACGGTACATAACAGTCTTAAAAAGCGCTATGACTCGTTTGGATATATTATATATATACATATTTGGTTGTGTTATCCTTACGTTTATTAATTTTTATAGCTCCTAATTTTGTTTTTTTTTGCCACACATGCTTGCGTGTGTTGTTGGTCGGATGTGTCATCTTGGGAATATCATTTTGCGTTTCCAACAGTTGCCGTCAATATTCACACACGTTTATTATCGTGGGGCAGGATGTACACGAGGAGGATTAAATGAAAATTGGTGCGCGTTAATTACAACGATAATATGTGTAGTATAATAATTTATAAAAAGCCTCGTCTATTAGTCAAGCACCATTCGTCAAACTCCGCCGTCTGCTGTGCCGCACTCTGGTCGTGTGTATGTTCTTTTTACCTGTGAAAATCAAAACCGACAGTCCGGTTTTATAATAGGTGTACCTATCCGTGATTGGTGGTAACAAAAAAAACGAAAGAAAGAAAACAAGAGATACTGATCGAACGTCTGCTGTGTGTAAAACGTATTTAAAAGCAGATGATAATAACTAAATAAAATTATAATTGAACACTCTAAAGTGCTCGGTGGCGTTTTGTGTGCGGTTGAGATGTACTCGCCGCCGCCCACAGCGAACCCACTCGGCTGATAATGACCGGGTAGAAATGATATATTTTGGACTACTTAAGCGGCTGCTCAGCACAACTACTATTAATACTTGCATGTCGTGTTCTTTTCGGAAATCGCGCATCAAAGGGAGGCGACGCGACTCGTTTATTGTTTATTGTTGTAGTTTTTTTTCCGCCTTGTCTGTTTAAGATGTCGTTATCGGTGTACCGTTTGTTAATTATGCATTATTTTTTTACATTGTCGCCACCTGACGTGGTGGTCTCTTCATTCAGGTCGATATTTAAACTAAAACGCGCACACACATATATACACGGACGATTGTAAGTCGTAACCGGGTGACTTGCGATTTTCTCACGTCTTGTCTACGTAAGTCGGTTCGATCAGCCCTAAGGGTACGATCACGACGGGTTTCCTTTTAGGTGCAATACTAAAACAAAATAAAAACCGCTCGTTCTATTGTCGATGGCAGGGGAGGAGAGGGTAAACGTGTTGTTTTTTCATACCTGTATACTGTGTATACCTAATGAGAGTGAAAAAAAACCAAGTAAGAAGTGCTGGGCTGCGAACAATTATTATTACTGCTGAATTGGAATGCGATTTTGTGTAATGTGTGCCGGCAGTGTATAATATGTATTTACGGTGTGTGTGTGTAGCCTCGTGCGCCGAAGAGAACCGATAGCGGTTGAGACGGCGGCCTGTGGCATTGTTGTATCGGTGCCGTGGTCGGCGGTCGAGAAAACCCATAGTCCTTGAACGGGGTTCAGCAGGTTTTGTTGACATTCCAGACGTCCGGGAGTACTGTAGTTGTACCTTTATGTACCTAAGCTGGAGAGGTACACAAACGGGCACCGTGCGCAATATATTATATTACTACTATCCCTCCAAGGTCTTTGAAAAACGGCGAAAAAACAAAGATACCGCAGTTATACATTATTCTATCTCTTTATCTACCACCACCGGAACACAGAACAAACCCCGCACTTTGCGTTGGATTTATAATATAAACAATCGGGGGACGGCTCGTTAGTGCCTACAATTGCGTTCT